TGTGTCAAAAGGAAAAGTCTCATATTGCTTGCATGAGAAAAGCTTCTAGCGCATATAATGAAATGAGTTTAGAGAAAAAGTGGGCTTGTGTGCATGAGATAGGCTATGCAGGGTACTTGCAATTGTAAACAATCAATTTGCCCCCTTTGTGGTTCTTTTTACCAAGCTTATTTTTTGTAAAATTAATGATAGTGTCCTTGGATGTGACTTAACAAATTTTCTACAAGATTTTGAGAGGAAAAAATTCAATTAATTTTCTCACTCTTTGAATGTACATGTTCTCTTTATTAAATTTTTATAATTTTACATATTTTTTTAATTGAAGTAACTGGAAACTCCATTCTTATTCCTTTCCCACGTTCCCAAACAAACTGGGGTAAAGTGTAACATCCAGAAAATTTTAACCTTGATTTATTAACCAAATGAGGGTAATTAGTAAGTTAATGAGGTGTGTGGTTAGAGGAGCTTAACTTGGCATAATTGTTATGATTTCAACCCTAGAAGTAGGTCCAGATCGATGGTGGGCCACTTGGGTTAGGAAAGAGAATGACAAAGTGAAGAATTATTTTATGTGACATACGCCGCGATGCGTGGTTGGTCCGCTGTGATGCACGAAGATAATTTAAACGTAACGAGCTATTCTGTGTCATGTGCTATGGCGAGGGCATCGTACGCCGCAGCACACAGTAAAAAATTAAATAAATCAGCTCATGAGCTGCGTGAAACCAGAAGAGAAAAGAAAAGGAAAATGAAGAGCTTGATTTTAGCTCTGTTAGGGCACGATATTTGGTCCCATTATTGATAGATTGAAGCTTCCAAATACTCAAAGTAAAATTATGGTGCTTTCTTTTTCCTTTCTCTCTCTCATTCGTCATGATTTATGGTAGGGTTTGAGTGGGAGATGAATTTTCAATCTATAGGAGTATGGGTCCGATTTTATTGGTTAAAATAAGTTAAATGGGAGTTATTTAATGTATTGGAATACCACATTGATGATTTTAAAAGTGGTTGGTCCATGGGAGCATTTAATATCCAAAATTAGCATTTATGAGATAGTTGGGAGAGGTTAATGTGCATTAATAGTGGTTGAAGTGTTATTAATGATAATATACATCAATAAAATCTAATGAGCCCATTGGGTATGAATGGGTAGTGATTATGAGTTGGCAAAAATTGTGTATGAGGGATTTTATGTTGATAAAGCTTAAAGAGCTAAATGATGATGATATCCTTGTGATATGGTTATAGAGAGGTTCATCTTGGCACCATTCGAGCTTGTTAAAGCTTTGGAAAGTTGATATGGTGAGGGGTAAACCTTTGACCTCTCAAAGGTTTGAGGTAATCGAGAAAAACTTAATTTTTATAGTTAAATGTTAATGGTGTTTGTAAAATATGATTTATGAGTTTAATTGATGATGCATATTGGCAAAGTGTTGATTTGTGAAATGGTTTCTTTTGAAAGAAAACCTTGATTCTACTACCTTTGATGTTTTATGAAATTAATTGTGATTTATTAATAGGGGTAGAGAATTGTAATGAAATATGTGTTAAAGTGTAGAGCATTTGTGTTATGTGAGTTCAAGTGTTGAGAAATGATTGTTGAAATGCATATTATGTGTGAAATGTGCATAGCATGATCATTAGAGAGAGTTCGCCTTGGGAGAGGAGTAGATTGGTTGAAAATTCACGTGATATTGGCAGTGATCGTTAGAATTGAGAATTAGCCTTGGCACCGATCGTTGGAATATGGATGTAACCCTTGTCCCATGGTTGTTTCAGGACTGTCTCACTTGTTCTATGAGGGACTCAAATCTAACTAGTCTCCATTGATTCATGAGGAGCCTAGATTAGGAGTACGACACCTCATGGTTGTTAGTATTAGGAAAAATCGAATTATATAAGTAAGTGAGTTAACCCTGGCCCAATAGCTCCTCACAAGTAGAAGGCTGGGTTAGTCCGTGAAGGATGTAGCCGTGTAATAGCCACTGGTTTTGTGTCGAAGGTAACAAGAGGATATAAAGTTGGCACATGATCATACATATAAGTTTGGTCACATGGTTGTTAGTTTTGTGGTTTGGCATATATTGAGAGTGCATGGCTGTTATTTTTACGACCCTGAGTTATGTTTTTGAAAATAACATGATATGGCATTTTATGGCAAGCCTGGTCACATAGTTATTAGTTTTATGAACCGTGGCCTAGTGTTATATGATATATGTGTTTATTTGCCTAATTGCATCTATTTATAATTAATATGTAACTGTAAGGGTTAAGTGAAACTTGGTTACTGAGTGGTTGTACTCACCCCTCAGTGCTCAATATTTTCAGGACCTAGCTTATTAAATTCAAGTCGGGAAAAACATATAGAGGCTTAGGATTGGTAGAGTAATCCTCTATTTGCCTCTCTTTAGTTGTTTTCATGTGTATTTGTTAATATAATTTTCAACTAGGATTACTTATCATGATTGGTGCACTACTTGTATGATTTTGTATTTAACTAGTGTATTTTGTGTCCTGAGTTAATGAGTTTTGTTGTGAACTCGTGGATAGGGCCAAAATACTTGTACAAGTAGGAATATATGTGCTTTTGAGAAATATGAATGAAATGGTTGATTTTGTGCAACTTTTCCTCCCCCTCTATGTTTTGTGAAAATCAGGATTGAGTGGTGATTTTGTGAAATAAGCATTATTAGTTGAGTGTGGTGTGTTGCACGATTACGTAAGAGTTCATTGAGTATGGTCGAATGGTTTGTGTAAGCTATTGGTACTTGTGGTTGAGTTGGGACACTCTATTTGGGAGATTTTATAAAAAATGTAGTAGAAATGGGTTTTGATGTCCAATTTCTTATAGAAAATAGATTTAAATGTGAAATCTGTGTCATTAACTAGAGTTAGAAGAAAGCTCCGTATAGACACCGAAATCACCTCAATCGGACGTCAGATGGAAATTTGGGATGCGTTGGAAGTTCGCTCCCTTGTGCAATGTGTCGTGCCGCATGGCACCACACGCCACGGCATATGATACAAAGGAGACATGCTGCGATGCACGAGCCGTAAGTCGTGGCTCACATGTCATTTCTGCATAGAATTTATTTTTGAGTTTTAAAACTCATTATTTGGGTCCCAATTAATTTTTAAGTTTTTGCTTTATTTTCAAAATTCTAATTTGGAGTTCTTATATTATGTTTGAAATTTGAATTGGTAAATTGGGATTTTTTAAAAAGATTTTGAGAAATTTCATTTTATAAACCCTATAATTTGGTAATTCTTTGAGAGTTAAGCCTTGGATTACCATGATTTGAAGTTAATTATGATTTAACCTTAGGGAGGTTACATAAAGTGGTTATACAATTCCAATGTCCTATTTCAATCTTACATAAGTGTATTTCATGGGGAAAAATTCATGTGGTGTGTGTCATATGTGGACAAACATTCATAATTCATTGACCCCATAGAATCATTTTATTCTTAAGCAGTTGAAATTTTTATTCCATAAACGATTCACCGTGCAAATGCGTTTCGTGCTTGAATGCATGTTATTGTGAACTTAAAATATCCTTGTTATTTTTTAATTTTTATTTTACACATGTATAAGATACTACTAGTAAAGAAAGAAGGCTAGCCAGATAGGCCTAGAATAGGAAATTACAGGTGAAATGCAACTGAATTATTAATGTTAGCGCCGCTAAAGTGATGATTGACTATATGGAAGTGCTAGCAGCCAGAATTGATAGATCGTACATAACGTCTCTTTTCCTAAAGATGTTGACAATTTGCCATTTCTTAGCTAATGAACTTTGAAAGGGATGGATTTCTGCTTCCTTTTTTGTTTTGACTTTATTCTCATGATTTAATCTTGAACTTCTTTGCTAATCCAAATTAGTTGGCAGTTAATTTGAATAGCTAATCCTGCTCACTTGGCCAATTTGTATTCTTTCGTTTCATATTCTTGGGCAATACTTCAATGAATATAGGTGGTCTGTTGGGTATACGAACTGTTCATGGTCATCTCATAGACTAAGGTTGTGGATAAAATGAACCATGAAATATTCAAAGGCTAATTGCCAAATTGTTGTTGGAATAGAGCTCATCAGACTGCCCTTTTTTGCTTGGAAGTAGGGCGGTGACAATGTCCTAGAAGGACGACAATTCATTTTTTAGATTTTGTCCATTATTAATGACAGAATTTGAGCCTAATTAACCCATACGGCCATACCTCTTGTTTAGAACAAGGTCGAAAACACATTAGGCCCCTGCCTATTGCCCAAGGGTGGTTTTGGGCTCTTGACTTTTGTAAACTTGGCTCGAGAACTAAACTTTAAGATCTCATGCCTGTTCAGTATTTTTGGAGAATAAATCTAGTTATGTCATTATTATTATAGATTTATAATGAGAGGTTGACCACAAAAACCCAATGCTTTTATTTACTTATTTATTCATTCGATTATAATAAAAAGCGAAAACTTCTGACACTAAATTCCCTAAATCGAAACAGAGTCCAAACGTGATACGCCTAGGTATCATCCTTACTTTGGCACTAGACAATATACACCAAATGTTACTGTTTAAAATGAATATATGAAAGGTTAATTTAATTTCCCTACAATCACTCGATAGTTATAGCAAATCCGCTAGTGGAAGAGAGCTGAAGATGAACATAAAACTAGAGTTAAGTTAGTAGATAAATACCAGTCATCTTAATCACGGGGTCCATAGCTCAGTGGTAGGGCATTTGACTGCAGATCAAGAGGTCACCGGTTCGAACCCGGTTGGGCCCTTTCGGTTTTATGTGTCGTCTGGAATGAGAAACCTTTTTTCTTTTAAAAAAAATGTATAATGGAAGCTCAATTACAATGGGCTTTTTTTGGTTGACGAGTTGGACCAGTCAGAATTTGTAATGGCCCGTAAATGAAGGTTCTCCGGTTGAAGATCGGTGTTGGAATCTGACTGGCTCCATCTGATTGGTTTGTGTTGCTATTAATTATGTAACCATTAACGTTAGCATTCTCTTTTACCATATTGGTGGATCCTCCTCGCAATTCCGCAGCACCAAAAGGAAAAGGAAGCCGAAGCGAGGGAGAGAGGATCGTTCCACTTTATTCTGATCAGATCTTCCTATTTATCTCATTTCCTTTCGGTGTTCAGGCATCAAATTCAGATCCATCGGATAGGATATTCATGGCGGCAGCGAGGCGGCTCCGGGACCTGCAAGCCCAACCGGGGAATAGGATCTGCGTCGATTGCTCTCAAAAGAACCCCCAATGGGCTTCTGTTTCCTATGGAGTCTTCATGTGCTTAGAGTGCTCCGGCAAGCACCGTGGCCTCGGTGTCCACATCTCCTTCGTCCGATCCGTTACAATGGATTCCTGGTCCGAAATCCAGATCAAGAAGATGGAAGCAGGTGGTAACGAGCAACTTAACGCCTTCCTCGCCCAGTATGGTATCGCCAAGGAGACCGATATTGTTGCCAAGTACAATACTAATGCGGCCAGCATTTATAGGGATCGGATTCAGGCCCTTGCCGAGGGACGACCGTGGCGGGATCCACCTGTGGTCAAGGAGAACCTCGGCCCTGGGAAGAGTAAGCCTCCGTTGCCGAAAAGTGGAAATGATGGAGGCTGGGATAGTTGGGATAATGATGAGGGGGTCAGATCACCCCATGACTTCAAGCGCAACATGTCTACGGGGGATGTAAGGGGGTTCAATGGAGGTTCTGCCGGTAGCAGGCCCGCGAGATCGAGATCGACGGAGGATATCTACACGCGGTCGCAATTGGAGGCCTCCGCCGCCAACAAAGACAGCTTTTTCGCTCGCAAGATTGCAGAGAACGATTCACGACCCGAAGGGATTCCACCCTCGCAAGGAGGCAAGTTCGTTGGATTCGGATCTAGTCCCGCACCTTCTCGGGTGAATAACCAACAAAACGATGTCTTTTCAGTTATGTCTCAGGTGATTCATTATGGAATTTCCTTTCCTTTTTTCCTTTATGGCTGCGAAATGATACGTTCTTGTAACCAATTTTATGTTTCATAATTGTTTCTATCTAGGGATTTGGGAAATTGTCCTTGGCTGCTGCCTCAGCGGCTCACTCTGCGGCTAATGTTGTTCAGGCTGGCACTAAAGAGATCGCTACCAAGGTATTTGCATCTGTTTTGTTTATGTATCAAACCGTTATATTTGGTTCATTGAATTTTTTGTCGAAAGTATGATAGATATTGTGTAACCTAGCAGCATCTGAATGCGGTCACTTGAGTTTGTCAAAATTTCTTTTACGCATGAAACAGAAGACACGAATTTACTCCTTTCTTTCTTGGACAACTGAATACAAGAAATAAAGAAACGAATAACTGAGGCATGTTTATATTTTACTACTTTGTAACTGCATCAATACTTGGTTTGCTGTTGAAGTATGAATTGATCACTCTGTGAATGAGAAATGCGAAGGTCAATTATTTCCCTCTTATTTCCATACCCTCTTGATTTCTATCTTGGTTTTGAGAATAAATAACAATGATTGGGCCAATAGTGGTGCATATGGGAGAGGATACATGAATTAGAAAAGGTGTTGAACGACAAAAGTAGGGAACTAATCTTTGCTAAGAGTTTTTTGTTTAATTCTGAAGAGATTCCATTCCCTCCCTCAGATTTATATTATTGCAAGTTGTATGTCATCTAGTTGTTTATTGATTTTATATTCATGTTTCTTGGTGATAAGATCATATTCTCATGTTTAGGAAGATAATTTTAATCTGCTGCAAGAAATACTTGGCACATGTTTAATGTTATTTTTTATTGAATAGTTGCATCAGCTTAAGAATTTGAAAGTCATGATTGGCGTTTAATAAGGACTCCAATATGCTTATAATAATATTCCGCTTCATAAGATAGAAACTATTTTTGAAGTGGAGTTTCTTAGAATTTTTGAAATTCAAGTTTGATACTTAAACTTACAATGAGGAGTGACCTTTCATGCGATTGATCTTCAATGAATTTTATTTTTTTGGGATTTAATTTAGTCAGGTATCAGATCTTGATGATCTGGTGCTATTTACTGCTGATGATCCGTGTACCAGTGTTGTCTCTTAGTGCATTGCTTGAGGATGAGAGCTGGCAACGAGAAAGTGTTGACTGATAGGGGTGAGCAGTAAGTGATTCGGCTCGGCCATAAATTATGGAAAACCAAACATACTGAAAATGGAAAGATGGGGAACAAATAAAGAACATGAGCCGAATTGGACCAAACCAAACTGAACCAAAATATTTAGGTCGGGGCTATTTTCATGGGCCTTGTTTGTTGGCCATTTCTTTTTAAAGAACAAAGCTACAAGCCTACAGCTAAAAGTAATAGGAAGATCTGCAATTTAAAAAAAAAAAAAAACCTGCAAATGAATCCAAACAATGTTACAACACATCTAAAATGAGCAATTCAACATTCAATTGTCCAAGTGTCCAAACACTCGTATGAAACAAAACCAGCAAATATTGGGGGAAAAACAAATCTAAAGGAAACCAAATCACCGATATCTGGTCATTCAAGTTCAACTGTCTTAAAGTTGCAAATGAAAAATCAAATAAAGGACCTGCTAATAACATAACCCACAACCGCACAGCAATATAACAGCAGTTTACATTCCATTTTCCTTCAAAACCTGCACCCTGCATCTAATGAAGAGGAAATCAAATAACCAACGCCCAAATTTTACAAAGTTATACAGAAGGATTTTCGTCAAATTAATTCAAGATTTTTTCCCTATCCAATTACTTATTTACATTTTGTTCTCTATACGGAAGCATTTTTATCATTTTGTTACAATCATGTCAGAGGGTATCATCACACACGACATAAATACAAGATTTGTATAGCAGCATACGCAAGAAGAAATTGATCATATGCCTTAATCTTTACTTTTGCGCCTGATGAGAGAGTGCCATCAATGACGTTTGAACCACAGCATTGATGCAACTTGTGAAATTTTGTTAGCTTACGGAGAGGATTTTTGTGAGACTGCAAGGTTAGGGGGTGCGAGGGACTTGAGAATTAAATCTCTTTCAATAGGTTTATCGTTACCAGGGAATTAAATATTCTCAAAGCTTTATTATACCTAATGAATATAATTCAGTAGGTTTAGTGCTGCTATTGTGATATTTACATGTAATCTACAGCTAAATAAGATTATGTCTTGTAATGCAGCTTTAGTGGAGGTTCATGAAAGTTGCATCTCTATGCATGTGGCTTTGCACCAAGGCCTGTTGGTCAGGGCTACAAGCAATAACATGCTATTAACATCTATGGTGGAAAATGTACAACGTACTATTTCAAGAAAATTGTATGGCTGTCACTTTTACTGGGAGTTTACAAAATTCTCTTAGATTCGTTATGTCGGAACTTTGAAAATGGAGGGCAAGAGACTAATTTCACCACTGTCTCTTGGAAGCTGAACTCACTTATTATTTTTCGTCATTGGTTTTGTTGCAGATTCTCCTCGGAATCTCCTGAATGCTCCTTTTATTTTAGGGCTTTGGCTTTCTTTTTCTTTTTGTTTTTTATGGTGATAGGAGGAAACCCTAGGGTCTTGGAGGTTCTTTTAGACTTCTTTTATTGGCCCACAAATTATGCATTATATTGGTCATAATGTGTTCTTTTCTTTGAAAGGAGGAATGATTGGTGTTTTACATTCATTTATTTATTATCTATATTTATTCTTTGTGCCAGGTAAAGGATGGTGGCTATGATTACAGAGTCAATGAAACCGTCAATGTTGTCACTCAGAAGACGTCAGAGATAGGACAAAGGACTTGGGGGATTATGAAGGGGGTCATGGCTTTGGCTTCGCAGAAAGTTGAGGAGTACACTAAAGATAACCCAAACTGGCCAATTGATAATAACTGGCAGCGAAATGAAAACGATAGAAATGGCTACTATCAGGAATATAATCATGAGACCAAAGGTTGGAATTCTTCTACAGGAGGAGGGCAACCTTCATCAGTTGGGCAGAATAATACTTACGCCTCAAGCTCATGGGATGATTGGGACAATAATGATACCAGGAAGAAAGAACCGACTAGAGGATCAGCTACTCATAACAATGATGGTTGGGCTGGCTGGGATGATCCTAAAGATGATGAATATGAAAATTCCTACCAGAGTGTATCAAATAAGAATGCAGTTGGTCATAATGGGAAGCCAGGTGACAGGTGGACAGGAGGAGGCTTTCTGTAAGGTTTGTATATTGTGACATTTGAGAAGTCTCTTTTTTTTTTATTAATTTAGGAGGAGATGGGGAAGAACAAATAAAAGACGAGGACAGAATGAAAATTAAGCGTATTTTTAATGGGATCTGCAAGTATCCTTGAACCTGCTTGACCACCGGACTCCTTGAAAGTTTTAGTATGTGCTACATTTGTGTCCAGTATGCGTGCGGGCTATAGATGAGGGATTGGCTGGATAGTAAATGCAGAATCTTGAGATTAGGAAGAGTTTTATTTTGCTAGAGAGATTAGGATGTTTTTTTATTTTAAGTTTGTTCGTTGTCTACTTTATTCTAGCTCCTATTTCATGTTCATCACTTGAAATAGACAGTCACTTGTGAAACCCTTATTTGACACCAGGGCCTGAGCCTGTCTTTACATTATAATTCAGCACAAATGACAAAAATTATGGTAGCTTCCAAGCCGATCACATGCAGGCTAACAGGGATGCCTCTAAACACGATGGATGTAACCAGACTGTCAAGGATAAGAATGTTGACGTGCAAGTGTCCAAATGAAGGGCTTGTTGCTCAAATTCGAAGAGTCCACTGCCTGGAATTGTGAAGAGAACAATGTTGTGAGATGAAAACTTCCTAATTGTTTTGTACTTGTGGCAACTAAAGTTACCTGTTAATTGTTTATTTGCTTCATATTGAACGCATGGTTTTTTTTTTTTTCCTGCCATTTCCGCAAAACTTATTATTATTTTGAGTCAAACTCAAACCGGAGTTAATGCAAATTTAGCAGGAACTCCTTTGAATACAAATATTTTTTGCTAGGTCGAACTTGTTTATAGAAATAAGTGGACATCAATTTCTATTTCCAGTAATCTGAGTTCGGTTGGCTTTGCGGTTCTTAAAATTCTGAAATTTTGGCAATGACCGAGAGAGAATGATGATTGTTACTCTCTAGGTTACTCAAACTACAGAAATGTGAAGTTATACCCTTTTATTTTATACATTTAATAAATCTCGAAAAAGCGAATAACTCGTGAAATCTCTGTTTATTTGGCTTCCTTGACTCTACCTTGACATTTTTTTTTAATTTTTTTGGCAATTGTTTTATTTTATAAGTGACTTCGTACTACTTGTACTTTCTATTTTATCAATAATTCCCTTTTCAATTATTTTGACTCACGCTTCAAATTTTGTAAGTTATACACGGGAAAAGTTCTAGTTAATCATGCCCAATCTGCAATTTTTTGGATCAACAACTGATGTGCATTGTTATTTATTTATTTTTTTTTAATTGTAACTGAAGGGAACAACAACCAGATCAAACATAAAATCGCTTTCTCATTGGACATGCGCTGATTGCAGATCAAATAGTAGTCTAGTTTGTTGTAGATTACTTGAATCCCATTTGCACATTTTCATATATAGGCTAGACACATTGCCAGAGATTGAGGAAATAAATCTCCTACCAGAAGCAGACGTGCAACCACAAGCTCGAAGTCTTCCTCTTTATTCTCTGAGATGATTTTATTCTTGCTTCAAATGTGACAAGGTGAGAGAGACAATCTATTAAAGGAAAATCTTTATCCGAAGAAAAGAAATTGAGCCGATGCTGCTTCCGATCCATGGCTTTTGCCTTGTGTGAAACACTTGCAGGAAACTTTCCTGCTATTAAAGATTAAAATACATAAAACACCCCAACATGAAACCAAACTCGGCATTTCAGAAACCAAAACTGGCTCGTAACAAAATTCAAGCTGTTAAACGCTGTAAGTGCCAGTTCATTCCCGTTACACATTGTTGTCGTTTGATGTTGAAATCTCGTTCCCCACGGACGACTCGTAGTACTCAGCCAGCACTTTAGACACAGGAGACTCGTCCTCCAGCTCCACGTCGGGTTGCTGAATGACCAGCACCGACGACAGTACCCCTTGTCCCGACGACGCGAGAATGTCGCCGATTGGACCCAACTCCGCGTGCTCCGCCTGTCTCCCCGCCAATTCAACCACCATGCTCGACGGAAACCGCCCCTTTCCCACCACTATCAGATCGTAATCCCCGCTCCGCCCCATTCCCAACACCTCCTCCACTATGTTGCTCGCCGCCTTCTCTATATAAACCGCCGTCTGCCACTTCCTTCTGAATTCCTCCACTGCAGTTTCATCTAGGCCCTGCAATTCCGCACATTCATTTCTCGAACAAACTCAAAAAGAATGAGTGCTTGCGTGTGCGCTTGAAAATTGAAATCCAATTTCTTACCTTCTCTTTCTCATGGTTCATTGTGGCGGTGGAGAAGCTATAGTTTTTCTCGCTGCAGTTATCTAGGGAGGGACGTAACACGATGCCGTCACCCACCAACCCATTTCTGTTGACAAATCTCACTACGGCGACCTTAACTGCCGTATGCTCCGCCATCCTCCCTCCCAATTCCATGGCCTCTCGATCATCGGGCCCACCAAAGAACAAAATACAGACCCTTTGGGCGACGTTGGGAGGTGTTCCCGACCTGTTTCCGTATCCTCGATCGATAAGCACCGCCACGGAACATGGCGAATTCTTAAGCACCCTCTGGTTCACCCCTCTCCATCCATGACCCACATTCTCCACCACCTCATGTCTCCCACTCCCAATCTCTTCTTCCTCCACTTCCATCCTCCACTGCTTGTGAAACGGCAAGATAATCATGGTGACTCTCTTCTGCTCCGCCATGTGGCGAATGTCCTCGTGCATGGTGGACAGAGAAGAGATGGCTGTGCTGGGCCGGACGGAAACCCGTCCACATTGACTGTAGGCCTGAAAGGCTCCGGCGAGGCGGTCATGCCACTGGCCACCGTGGAAGCGGTTAAAGAAAGGGAAGCCATCCTTGCGGGCGCGCTGGGCCAAGACGATGGAGGAGGAGCGTTCGGTGAGCTCAACGAGGTGCATGATGAAGAGCTTAAGGAGGGACTTGTTGGTGCTGCGTGTTAACTCGATGAGTCTGATGATGGAAGGTACGTTGCCGGGACCGTGCACGCAGGCTAGCACTCGCAGCTCGCCGGCGGCCTTTTTCTTGGAGCTGGAAGACAAGTCGCCTAGCCTCCGGTGGGTCCTCGCCCTGATGCCACGTGCGGGTTTGTAGATGGCCATCACTGTTGGAGTGGTGATGAAGGTGGTGAACAGAGCCATTAGAACTAGAATGGCGAACATCTCATCGTTCAGAACCTGTTAATTAACCATGTAGTTTGCATGTACGTTAGCCTGAACACTTCATGTTTTTTCCCAGAAGAAACAAAAATCTTAAAAATGAATTATAAATGCTGAATTTTATAAAAGATTGTGTGTTAAAAATATAAAGTGATGTTTTATAAATAGGACTGGAAGAAAGCTAAATAGTCCTTACATATACACATGTAACTCATATCGATCCGTCTTATTAAACAAGGATATTTGATATACTTCCAAATTTTTAAGTGCATGTATCGAAGCATGTGTATATAGAATCACAAACATAAATATAATTTGCTTGGTTTACTCGTTCGCACTTTTTATTTAACAAGCAAAAATTTGTCCTCAAATTAAAGATGCATCCTATGTGTGACAGACATGGTATGTACTGTGAACCAGAGGCACTATCAATGGCTAACAAATTAATCACAAATCTTTGTCATTAAAAGTGGGAATTGTTTGTTCAAAAATAAAAAATAAAAAAGTGGGGAATTGGGAATATAAACAAGTCAAAAGACACCGCAAATGATAGCTCTCACGGTGTGTCATTATCAATGAGATCAGTCTCAATCTAAAGAGATGGGATCAGGGAGCCTTTAATTTGTGATTACTCATTGTCTGTGGTTTGCTTTGACTACTTTATAATCCCACTTAAGATTTATTCTGAGGCCCACTTTAATAAGTACTTATTAATAAGTGGAAGCTTGATCAGTAATGGCCAATTTTGGGACGGACGTTCCATATAGTTCGACAAATCAATCAAAGGAAGGAATATTCTTGATGATGCAGACTTATAATAGCTAGTGAAGGAAGGCTCTTATGATATGAGAGTGAAGCATTATTTATTTCAAGCTAAGCAGGTTTTATAATTAGAAGTAGGAAAGTGGTGCAAAAGGATCTCATGTTCGCGTGTTTGGTGTAGATCAATGAGGGGGATACATACTTAATCTGCTTTTACTCTTCTACTTAGTTCTGGGTTGTTCAGAGAGACGCGTCACACACGTCACATCCTTCAGAAGGAGAAAACAAGCTTACACAAAACCCCTATATAGTCACTCCCAAATCTACACTGGAGACACAAATCTCCAACTTTATTATTAATCTGTGGAATATCTCCGTTGCTAATGATGGCATGCAGAATTGCAGATATATACAGTTGTGCACTTAACACTCTTTTACGCTGGTTTACACGTAAATCCCAGACTTTTCCATGTAATTGTAGACAATTATTAGAGATCAAAGTAGAGACAGACGTAGATTTTGTCAAAATATATAACCTAGTCACCTGATCTCAAATTTTCAGGTGTGATCGAGAAGGTGTGATTCTTTCACCTTTCCAGCTTCTTTTTGTTGAGAAGCAAAATCTAAATTCGACCTTAAAAACCCAGTGGCTCCATAAGGTAAGCCTAAGACATGAACACGCTTTGATGCACGTATTTTCCAAAAGGTTGGACTCAATGACTTCGTTAATCCTAATTAATTACCCCTTTCATTAATCCAAACCACTAATGTGCGAGTGCCTCTTTTGAAAATAAAAATATAAATGAAGATGATGCTATTGACTAAAACATGTACCAATTGAGTGATGATGGAGTGCGTATGATGTAGATTCCCTGAAATTTCCCTACCAGACTAGACACAATGAAACTTGCATGCAAAACAAGACAACATCAAGTCTCCTAGGTGCCATTTCCCCCTCTAACACCTCTAATTTACGAACATTATGCTCTGCTCATTTAGGACTATGAACATTAATTATAGTCTGAATCAACAGTTAAAAGGCCACGTGTGGGCCATGAAAACATTAAAGAGCATGTGATTCCTAGATGAAAGCGTTTGGAATGAAGGCAAAAATAATGGGTGGCTGACCTTTTTCTCCTTGCCAATGTTGAGCACGATGAGCTCTACCAGGCCTTTGGTGTTCATGAGGACGCCCAGCGTTAAGGATTCCCTCGCCGGAATAAAACACATCATCGCCACCGCGAACGTTCCGAGTATCTTGCCAGCGCAGGCGGTAGTTATAACCAACGCCAACAGCCCCCAGGCCTCCCCGCCTCGGATTTTTGCCACGTCAGTCTTCAACCCGCTCGATGCAAAATATAGTGGGAGGAGCAGACCCGACACGAAATCCTCAATCCTCTCCATCAGTCTCTCTGCGAAATCTCCTTCTTTTGGAATAGTTAACCCGAACACGAATGCCCCGAATATCGAATGGATCCCTATAAAGTCCGTCATAAAACCCGACACCATCACTCCGGCTAACGTCAAGCAGATGTAATGCTCGTGAACGGCCTCGTGCTCCGACGAGCATCTCAGGGCCACCCATTTCATCGCGGGTCGGATCGCAACCATCATGAAAATTACGAAAGCAGCCCCTGACAAAAGAACCCACACTGACACTAACGGACTCTTATGATGCCCGCCGTCGCCGTCGCCAGCGATGGCAATGGCCAGAGCCAGCAAGATCCATGCTGCGACGTCGTTGAATGCTGCCGCGGCCATAGCGATCTCTCCCGCCTGGGTAGTTAAGAGTTTGAGCTCGGCTAAGATACGAGCGAGAACGGGGAATGCGGTGATGGAAAGCGCCACGCCCATGAAGACCAGAAACTGACCGAAACCGACCTTGTCAGCTCCGTCGACGGTTTTGCGAAGCAACATGGCGACGCCGATGCCCAAAATGAAAGGAACGGAGATTCCGGAGGCGGCTATAGCGAAGGCTCGGCGACCACTCCGGCGAATGGAGGCCAGATCGAGCTCGAGACCGACGAGGAAAAGGAAAAAGAGAAGGCCTATGCTGGCGACGGATTCGAGTATGGGAGTGCTCCAAGACGGGAATATACGGTGCATGTAAGTTTGGTTCCTTCCAAAAGCCGATGGGCCTAGCAGAATTCCACCCTGTGAAGTGTAAGAAAAACACATGTATACGTGTATGTATGTATTAATCATTGTATATTATAGTAAGAATATCGTAAAGAAAAAAGGAACGGTAAATATGAACGTACGACAATCTCAGCGATGACTTTGGGTTGGCGAAGAGGTTTGAGGAGGAAAGCGAGGGAGCGGCTGACGAGGAGGATGAGGAAGGTTTGAAGGATGAGGAGCGGGAAGGCGTAGTCCAAGGGATTGTCGCCCTGCAAGGCTCCATTCGATGACGTTTTGATGGAGCTTATGTTGAATACCATAGTTACACGCCGTGCTCCGATATATTCCTTCGCCGGAGCTTTCTGTTGAGAATTCAAATATCAAAACAAGCGTAAGTAAGTGACGGATAATGTGAAACTGAAGGAAGCTAGCACGAGTGGAATGTTAAACCACTTGAGCAGAATCGCTTGTATTTATAGAAGATCCCCATGCCTTTAGAAAATGGATCCTCTCTACAGTTAAAAATAATCCATGAACTTAGGAAATTTATCTTTTTTTTTTAGAACATTTTATATTTTAAAAAATTATAAAATGAAAAAAATATATTTTTTAAAAAAAATCACTTAAATTCATGAATTTCGATGAAAGAATCTCAACTGCCTATATCTTATGCCCAGTGCAACCATATCTATTTGGTATTACAGTGAGGCCTGTCAGCGTAGTTGCCTTTTTTGTTTGTGAACATACATTAACTTATCGTGCATGTTTATAAGTTTGCTCATTTTGCTGTTGCGTTTATTAATTTGGAAACTTAACTAATAATAGAAATTGGCTGTCCACATCCAAACTTCTTCCTTAACCAGGGTCTGCAGAAGCCAAAATTATGGCTCAGTAAAACCAGAACAAGTGAACTATCTAGTCACTTCCGCCAAAAAAACATAAAAGGACTATCCAGTCGCTGGTTTAGACAAAGTGAATGGTTCTGACTTCTGAAAGAAAACGCGTAGTCGCGTACGGGTAAAACCTTTGGTTCAATCCAGTAAAATATTGAAAGAATTACATATAAATTTCATATAAAAAAATAATTATTGCAAGGTACATTAATAATTAAGTTAAGTTCAAATCTTGTAGTAATTTATTTTTTTTATGTGTGACTTCAACTTAATTTTTTCTAAAGTATTTACAGTTTTTAAATCAATTAAATTATGTTACTGGATTTTGATTTTTGCACATACACACACAGATAGAAATATATATTATAAAATTATAAATTGAAACTTTATAAATTTTATGGTTATATATCTGTAATATTTTTTAATATATTTTTATTTTTATTTTTATTTGAAAACTTTAATATGTAATTTAAATATTTTGTTACTGACTATGAACCAATATCTTGACTAGTACTTGATTTTTAATGCATTGCCCTAAACAAGCTCGAGTAAACTTTCAAGGAAGAAGGTGATTGCTTCTCAATACTTATGTGGCATTAAATATTTGATGTGAGTTTCAAATTATGAACATGATTTATAGCACTCGTATTAAATATTTCCTGAAGGCAGGAAATGAATGAGGAACCTCATCCAAAAATGCAAAAATAATAATACAGCCAACATTAGGCCATTGTTTATTCCGTAACGGAGACACAAAATTCTCGATTCCTATTCGGTCTATGCTAACCTATCACCAATTATTCCGGCCAGGACACATAAATGATCATATTTTATTCAAAATCATGCTAAACACACTACTTCAAAAGAGTTTGGCATTGAGTTTAGTGTGTGTGTGTAAAAATAATTTTGTGATTTTTATTGTGCAATTTAAATTCCTAATAACATGTAGGGTGCGTTACCGTGAGGGCGCACGCGCGTGTTCACATCTTACACGCAAAGGGCGTGCCAAGAACCTTGATCACAGAATATGCCCAATTACCCATCACGATTATTTGAAAAAAGAATTCTTTGAAATATACATATATAAAGAGAATGGTTAAAGCATAATTTTCGTGGATAACCAAGCCAAACATGTACCTTCCTGCCAAGAATCTGGCGAGAGGGATGATGTTGAGAATTTAATGAACTTTGTATTTAATTTTATTTTAGTATAAATCAAATGTCATTCATATTATCGTAACCGAGTGGAAGTAAAAGAGATGCTTGGCTTTGTAATCTTTGCCACAGAGGGCAAGACCAAGTACGGTGTTTTTCTTTATTCACTTTAAATAATGAAGGGCAGTCTCATGAGATGCCTGCCTGGTTTGATTAATTAATAGTTTCCTAAACCTGATTTTGATGCATATAATTAAAGTAATATATACTACTTTCTTTCCTTCTGTGTGATGGAATTTGGACGGCAAATGCTGACCCTTCAATTTTCTTTTTAATTTCCCCTTTAAAAAATAGTTAGTTTTAATAGCAATAGTTTCTGGCCAAAAAAAAAAAATAAAAGCAATAGATTTTTATCCTGCCCATGCAAGATAAATAATAATTGATAGAATTTTTTTTATTAAAGGGTATATCGATGTGGAAAAAATTAGGTAGAAAATTTAAAATTCAATTAGTAAAAAAAATTTAGAGATAAATATTAAAAAAAATAAGAGTATTGAAAGAATAAGAAGAGGCGTGGAACCCAATTGATGCAGGCTGCATTATTCATGTGTGGCTTTGAAATAGTAGATTATAAATTGAAGTTGTAATTTTTTTTTTTTTTTTGTGCAGTGCACGAGAGTACATTTTGTTGATAATACAGAGACTAGCGCGCGCGCAGAGAGCGAGCAAGGGTTAAACCTCTTCTATATATATATATATATATATATATATAAGATATAGACACTAGACACCTTTTTCTTGGTAATGCATGGGAGAAACAATAATTTAAAAGTTTTTTTTTTAAGTTTGTACTAATCATTTGATAACATTCAACTTTTTTTTTTCTTTTGGCCAAATAACATTCACCTTTATTAAAACACACGGAGAAATATTGAAGGAATAAAATAGAGTTATATATAGAACCCTTTCCTCTCAATCTTAATGGGCTCCACTACTCAATTTCACTACTCTCTCTCTCTCTCTCTCTCTCTCTCTCTCTCTCTCTATATATATATATATATATATATCTTTCCTCTTCACTATTTATATACATAATTTCCCACTTTATTAAAAGTTTTGTTGTTTGTTAAATCTTCACTTCTAAAAAAAATAAAAATTAGTATTAATATTCCACACATTTTATTTTTCAATTAAATTGTCTGGAAGTTGAGAATTTCTGCATTTGCATGGAGACATTTTTTTTATTTAATTTGTATAAAATGTTAATTAAAATTATTTTGATTATCTAAACCTTATAATCTTTAAAAAAATAATATAAAGATACGTATTGTCACTTTACATTTTGAAATATTTTTTTAAAATATAATATATATTCATACAAAATTTTAATCTAATGATTTTTTAAGGTATAAACTTATTTTAAAAATATAAAATAATATATATTATTTTGTTTAAAATAGGCCCCCCCACAGTGGTAATGATGGCCGCGCCCGGGGACAAGCCCCGTGTGTATGGGCATTAGCAAGCCCACTTTAGAAATGAGAGGTTTTAAATGCATCACCGAGAAAATGGAGCCTCAACTGGCGGAGAGTGGAAGAGAGATGTGATTTCATTTTCCAGCCGATGACGACGCACGAGAGAGCATATAATTAAGTGAAAAGTAAAAAAAAAAAAGCATAATTAAAGGAGAAAATTATAATTAGTGATATATAATGAAAGGGGGCCATTCCCCTTTTGGCTAAACACATCACACATGCAATCTGTGCGCACTTTCCAAACGATGAAACCATGTACTTTTATATTAATTGCAAACACTTACTGTCCCTCCAGCTATAGCTTGCTTCACCCTTTGTATGCACGTATGAAAGTCATGTATATGGATCGTATGATGTGAGCCAAACACATGTTAGTTTGAAATAGCAATTACTACAGGTAGTTTCACTATATATGTGCATTTATATGTTTCCTCAACCCCTATATATGTAGATTGTTCCACTGAGGTCTTGTGTCTGGACCCAGAGTTTTTAAAAACAAAAGCGCATGTCAATGTCAAAACTTGTTGAAAGTTGTAATATTAAACTTCAAATATAACGTTTATTTGACGAATCTGGATTCTGTTCTGACCAATGTTGGTTCTAAGATTCATGGGCAAAACAACTTAAGGGCTCGTTAGGTTGTATATATGGAAATAACGGATTGTGTGGGCTGAGTTTGCCGGTTGTGATAACTATGTATGAATTTAAAATACAAAATAAATCAAAAACGTTGTTGGCGTCGCCCGGACTCGAACCGGAGACCTTCAGTGTGTTAGACTGACGTGATAACCAACTACACCACGACACCGGTTGATGTACGTACAAGTATCGTTTAGCTTAGTTAAAAACCGCGAACAACCTCAAACACGACAAGAAGACGTTCTGTCTCGTAACAAAGTAGACATTTTGCGGTTAGAATTCAGACTGGTTATTGAATTGATGGAGATATTGATTCATAATTTTTTAATCAAATTGTGATTGAACCATGGTGAAATCAGTTATAATTAAATTAATATATTTTAATAAAATATTGATAGTGTAACATAAAAATAATAATATCAAGAATAAAATTTCAAATAGTAATAAGGTAAATTAAAAAGTCAACAAGTTTTTATTTTCGTCCAATTAAATTTCTATTATGTTTGTGCGTGTAACATGCAAAGGGCATGCCAGACAGAACCGGTTTCAAACTTCCAATGCTCATCATATAAATAAGTATTGAGAATTGTTCAGATCTAATTTTTACGGTTTATATTTACAATTTTTTAGTTGATATTTTTTAAAATAAAAAATTATTTTTTTCAGAAAATGGTAATTAAGACATTGTCTTTATTTTGGATTTTGTATTCATTAAAATAACTTTTTTAAAGAAATAAAAGTAAAAAGTAGAAAATTTATATCATCCAGATTAAATCTAAATAATTCAAAAATGATAAGTTTTCAATACTCATTTATATGATAAGCATTAAAATTGATTCCATGCAGAACACTTTAATCACATAATATACCCAATTACCCATCATGATTATTTAAAAAAAAATTGAAACATACATATATAAAGAGAATGGTTAAAGTATACCTTCTGTGGATAACCGAATCAAACACGTTCCTCCAAAGAATCTGGCGAGGTGGATGGTATTGAGAATTTAATGATTTTTGTATTTAATTTTATTTCGCATGAATCAAATGTCAATCATGTTGGCGTAACCGAGTGGAAGAAAAAGAGATGCTTGTCTTTGTAATCTTTGCCAGAGATAAGGAAACAAGTACAAATTGACGAAAGTGATGACTATTTTCATGTTGTTTTTTTGTTGGTAAAATGTGATGAATATTTTTAATGAT